TTACAGGTGGCGGGTGGTATCCGATGGCCCGTGATTTATAGCCTTGCTTCCAAGAGCTGGGCCTGGATCCCTGCAGCCAGGGCTGCCCAGAGCTGGGATGCTGGGAGCCCCTGGCAGCTCTCCCCAGCCAGCTCCTGGGGGCTGTGGGCAGGATTTGGGACTGCTGCTTCTGCCCCTCCCTCTGCCCAAGCATCGCCCAGCTGGGCCTGGCTTTGTGCCCAGCTCAGCCTCCTCCGTGCCTGTTCTGTACTGCACCTCCTGACCTCCCACACCAGCACGAACATTCCCATGGCAAGGATCTGTGCTGCTCAGCTGGGTTTTAGACAGGCACGTCTCTAAGTGGGTCTGACATCCGTGTCCTGCTGGCGTTCAAGCATCCTGAAGATCCCCTTGCTCCTGAGCTGAGCTCACCGAGTAAGTCAGTGGTCAGGGAGCCTCCACTCCTGGGCAGGGCAAGACTGGGTGGTGAGAAGGATGCTGGGGAGAACAAGAGGGCCATAGTGAGCACAGGTGAGTGCTCAGAAATATTTGCAAGCTTCACTTCCCTTTGAAGTCCTGGTGCCTCAGCCTCCCCTCTCCCTGAGGCCCTGGCTCCTGATTTATTGGGTTCCCGGAGGAGAGGCACCTAAATTAGCTCAGGCTTCAAAGAGCCAAGAGAGGAGAAGGGCAATAGACAAATAACCCCCTGCTAATTGTGGCTATTGATCAAACATGAGCCAGGACGATCAGATAGGAAGGGATGGATCAAGGGGGGCACATTCTCCAGGGGCTCTGCTTTTGCACCAGTCACCCCAACAATTTGTCAGACCCACTCCTGGGCTGTTTTTCAAAGCATTACCTGTCTCACAGGAAGGCATTTAGCGACTGCTTGCTAACGAGATGATGGGCAAACACACGTGGCTGTCCCTCACTGCTCTGAGGTTGGGGACCTGGCCCTGCCCATGGCCTCCGGACATGCTGCACCTGGGAAGTCCCTCATCCCACCAGCTTGTGGATTCAGGAAACAAGGAGCTGCTTTCAGCATCGTTTTCCCCAAGTAAGTGCCGGGCAGGCCCATCAGCCCAGACAGCTCTGCCCCCAGGCTCCTGCTCTGCTGCAAAGGGACAGGAAGGCTCTGGAGGCAGGTAGCACTTTAGCTCTTTTATCACCTGCCCCAATCCCCCCTGCCACATTCCTGCTTCCTGCTCTGCAGGGCAGAGGCGTGCCAAGCCCTGCACATTCCTGTACTGACCCCAGCTCCTGGGAGCTGCTCCTTCCCAGGCACCCGCCTACCTCAGTGCCCAGGGATGCTCCCAGCTCACTGGGGTGCAGTTGTGTGGAGCTTCCAGCCCCAGTCCTGGGGCAGGAGTAACTGTGCCTTCTCCTGCACTCAGCCACGAGACTTGCTCCTCTCTCAGCAGTGTTGTCATTCCATGCCTGGGTTTCTCTTGGCTGGGAAATAACAGAGGTGCTGCAGCGCCCACGAGCTGGGGGGAAAGAAGAGCCAGGGTGGGGATGCCCCACGAGGCTCTGCATCACAGCGGCATATAAAACCAGGGATGACCTCGCCCAGGCTGAGCCACCAGCCCACTCAGCGGCAGAGAGAGCAGAGCAGCACAGGGGAACTCCTGCAGGGCCCAAATTCTTAGCAGAGAGTAAAGCAACCGCTGCAACATGTGCTTGGAGGAGGTGCTTTTCCCCTGGGGCCTGTGAGCATCCCACTGCAAACTCTGGGCACCCCAGCACTGATGCCCCATCCTCCAGCCTGGCACCACATGCTCAGGAGCATCCCCAGGGGCAGGAACCGGGCAGGACTCGCCCTGTGACTCTCTGCAAAGCCGCACCTGCGGCAGGTGAGGAGGGTCGGGGGATCCACGTGACGAGCCCTGTGGTGGGGTTTTTAGAGGCGGCCGTGTGTCCCTGGAGGAGTGTCTCCCACGCCTCGCAGGAGGCAGGACCACAGCAGCACCTCTCCCGCTCCCCCTCGCCGCTGCCATGTCCAGAGGAGCCGTGGGGAAAGGCACAGAGCCAGAGCCCGACAGCTCGGAGGAGGAGCTGGAAGGGGGGGGCCCACCCCAGGCATGCTGTGAGCAGAGTCTGTGGGTCCCCCAGGGCAGGGAAGCAGCCGCCTGCCTGGGGGACACCGAAGGGATGAAGGTGAGGAAGAGGAGCAGGCCGGTGCGCTCCAAGGCCAGGAGGATGGCTGCCAACGTCAGAGAGCGTAAGAGGATTCTGGACTACAACCAAGCCTTCAACGCCCTGCGCCTGGCCCTCAAGCATGACCTCGGTGGCAAAAGGCTTTCTAAAATCGCCACCCTCCGGCGAGCCATCAACAGGATCGCGGCGCTGTCCCTGTCCCTGCACGGCGCCGGGTGCCGCTGGCCCTGCGCCCATTCTGAGTGCCACGGCCGGGCTGGGGTCCCTGCGCAGGAGCCGGGGGCGAAGGGCAGCCGCCCCCAGCTCCCCTGGGAGCCCGGGTCTGCGGGCACACACTGCCCCCAGTCTCCTCTCTGCGCTGAGCTTTCCCCTCAGAGGCAGCTCCATCACTACGAGAGCCCGAAGGAGGATGGCTCCGTGCCCAGCCCTGCCTGTTGCTCCAGCGGGACCCCCCACCCTGCGCTCCGGGGCACCTGCCAGCAGCGATACACGGGCAGCCTGCAGGACCCCCTGGCTGGGGCAGTCCCCTGGCAGCTGGGCTACTGCCAGAGCTGGGGGCACCAGCAGTGCCTCCCCATCCACTGACCAGCAGGGCTGGGGTGGCCAGATCGTGCCAGGAAGGTAATGGATCCATGGGACAAGTGGGGGGAGTGGGAAGGGAGTGTTGGATGAGAGAGAAGCGCTGCAGGATGTGGAGCTTGGCTGAAGTGCTGGTGAGAGCTGGGAGCCCACAACGAGCTGTACTGGACCCCAACACTGCCCGGGTCTCTGTTCTGCGGGAAAACTGTGGAATGTGGGAAGTCCTCTGGAAGTGCCAGCTCCCTGTTTCTTATTGCGAGTTCTCACTGTTGCTGATTGCCACTGCTATTTATTCTCTCTCGCTTGCTCTGTGAGAAAATACGAATTACAAACCCAGCACCAGAGCACTGGCTGTTAATATGAGTGGGATGGACAGATGGGCCGTGGGGATCACGCTAAAGCCCCTGGCTGGCTGGTCACTCTGGCTCCCATCGGTGAAGGAGGGGAGCAGGAGCAGGGAAAGGTTAGTGCCCTGGGACTTTTGATGCTAAGCTCATTGGTACAGACGTTTGTGCCTGGCAGATTTGCAAGGCCGGGAGGGGAGACAGATGTCGGCTTTCATAAAACCCACCCATCTGATTGCAGTTTCCTCCTGATCACAGCAAAGTGGCTCTGGTGGGATAGGCTGGTGGGACATTCCTGGCCAGCCCCCATGGCAGGGAAGAAGGGGGAACCTTACCAGAAAGGTTGCTTTTGTCCCTTCCCTCTGGCTTAGAGAGCTTGGACCGGCTGGGAGGGCTCCCTTCTGCCCGAGGCTCAGCAAACTGGAATTGCTGCGGAAATCAGGCAGGGATTTACAGCCACACTCACCACAGCTGGCAGATTTTTGGATTGGGCCAATTGCACCGTGTGATTCCCGCAGTGCTGAGCCCCACAGAGCTCCCCCAGCCCCGCTGCTCCCACCCCAGTGCTCCCAGCATGGCTCCCAACATGCCAAGGGCAGTCTGAGCTCTTTCCCTGCCGAGGGGCACATGCTGGAACAATCATCTCAACCCTCTGCTGTTGTTTGCCAGGCCCTCCCCAGGGTCTCCTCCTCCTTCCCTAATCCCCAGTGGGACAAGGGAGCTGGGCTGGGAGCAGAGGAAAGCTGTCAGCAGCCAGGAGAGAGAGCTCTTTGCTCAGCAAAGGAACCTCTTTAAAGTGCTGATGGTGTGAGGCATCTTGGCTTCAGCCTCTGACAGGTGTTCCCTTTGCCAGAAGAAGGCCTGCAGCCTTGTCCACGGAAGGAATCCTGCTTCTCCCAACAGCATCCCTGCTCTGGATGCTCTCCCTGCTCTAGCTCTCCCTGCAGCAGCACATGGCCCTGCTCTGCCCTGTCAGCAGCCATCACCCAGGGAGTGAGAGCCCAGCAACACCAGCATTCAAGGAAGGTTTAAGCGACAGGAACTCAGACAGGAACCCTCCCTCCTCACAGATTTGCATCTCCATGTTTTTCCCCCACCAGCTTCGGTGACCAGCCAAAGGGAGAGATGGAAACAGCTGATCACAGAGGCAGGAGTGAGGGGAATGAATAACCCCACAAGACCCCCCAGAGCAGGGTCACCCCACCACTCTCAGGTTCACATTTACAAAATGCAAGTCCTAATTCTACCTGGAGGCTGCAGGATGGAATAAGGCTCTGGGCAGGGCTGGGCAGCAGGTCCCGGCTGGCACCAGGCTCTTTGGGCACGTCTCAGGGAGGCAGAAGGTGCTGGGTGTGCCCCGTAGATGGCACTCACTGCCACCGTCCGTGCAGCCCTGCACAGCCAGGGCAGCCCCAGCCCAGATCTGCAGCGATGAGGGGCATTGTGAGGGTCTGCTCCGTGCCGCACGCCCCCCACCTGCCTGGGGAAGGGCTTTCAGCCAGGAGGGAGGCAGGGGCAGCAGGGCTGTGTGTACCCAGCACGGACCCACCCTCGGCATCCCGCGTCCCGCCGAGGCTGGAGGCGGCATCGACCCCCCCGGCACAGGCGGAGCCCAGCCGGGGCTGTGCTCTCACGTACCGCTGCAGCGGAGCGGAGCCCGTGGGAGCCCCCGGGAAGAGCGGGGGGTCGGTGGGGAGGGACAGAGCCCGGGGCTGGGCGGGTTGAAGGCGGCGGGGACACCCCTGCTCTGCCACCGCTCCGCTCCGCCCCGCCGCATCCCCGCCAGCATCCCGGGGGGGCCGCGGCGCCGCCCGCAGCGGGACGGGCGGAGGCCGAGCGCGGCCCGGGGGTGAGGAGCGGGGGGCACGGGGACACCCCGGGGGCGGTCCGCGGCCCCGATCCTGCCCCGGGGGCTGAGCCGGGCTGGCCCCTCCTCCGGCTCGGCCTCCCGGGGGGCGGCGGGCCCCGAGCGCAGAGCGGCGGCGGCGGGGCGCTGCCGGAGCCCGCTCCGCCGGGCCATGGCCAGCACCGGCTCCGCGCCCGGGGGCGCGGGCACGGGCTCGGGCTCCGGCTCGGGCTCGGGCACGGTGCTGCCCACCCGCTTCCAGGAGACCGAGAAGCTGCTGTCGGCGACGGAGGGCCGGGAGGAGAAGGGCCTCCGCGGCTCCAAATCCTTCACGGCAGCCTTGCCCGGCGAGACGGAGCGCAACGGGCACGGGCTCGGCTACAAGTCGGTGTCGGTCGGGCACCTGGAGGCGCCGCCGCTCTCGCCGTCCCGGCTGAGCCTGGGCAGAGCCTCTTCCACGGCCACCAGCACGGCGGCCCCGGAGCAGGGCCGCCCGCGGGACTACCTGGTGCTCGCCATCTTCTCCTGCTTCTGCCCCGTCTGGCCCCTCAACATCGTGGCCCTCGTCTTCTCCATCATGGTGAGTGCGGGACCCGCCGGGCTCACGGACCCGCCCGTTCTCCCCCGGTTCCCCCGCCGCCCCCGACGGCCGCCCCGGAGCTGTCCGCGGTGCTGCACCGCCGGGACCGGGATCGGGGCGCGGCTGGGCGGGAGGCGCCCGCACCGCTCCCGCAGCGCTCGGGGGCTCGGCCGGGCTGTGCCGCCGCTCGGCTCCCGCAGGGATCTCCGGTGCGGGTCCGGGGAACGGAGGCGGGAGGAGGCGGGCGGGGAGCGGCGCCGAGCCCGGGGCAGCGCGCGGGGAGGCGGCGGGATGGATGGATGTGGAAAGGGAGGCGGTGGGATGGAGATGCGGGGAGGCGGCGGGATGGAGATGGAGATGGGTGGGGGATCCCAGGGCAGGGCTCCGGGAAGCTGGTTGGCTCCGGGAAGCCCGGTAGCTCCGGGAAGCCCGATCCCTGCCGCCAGGCAGCAGTCCAGAACGACTCGCCGGGCTTTCCCGGGAAGGAGCTGGGAGGCGAAGCAATGACAAGGGATCTCCCTCCGCCCCTCCTAGCCCAGCCCTGCAGCACTGGTGAGACCCTGGCTGGAGGCTGGTTCCTGTCCCTCAGGCACTTCAAAGGGTCAGGTGCACCTGCAGCTCTTTCAGTTGCCCTGGAGAAGCAATTTTCTCCATTAAACAACCCCCAAACCTCAGCAAATCCATCAACAGCCGAGCAAGGGAGAATGAAGCCAGCCAGCCTCCCACCCATCTCGGGTACAGGTGGCTCAGTCAGCACAGCCCTACAAGGCACGGCCACCCCCTTACCCATCAGATGCTGCTCTCTTGTACAGCCTCCCCCACCCCCCCAGCACCTTTTGTGCCTTTGATTTGCAACAAAGGCAAATCTTTTCTTTGAAAATCATCTCAGTTACCTGCTTACCACACAGAAATACACCGAGGGGCACCTGCAGCCAGCACTTCCCCAAAAACCAATGACAACTTGGAGGCAGATGCCGGCAGTTGCCACAGAAAGCCCTCTAGAGAGACCAATTTCCATTTTGAGGAGGAATCATCGTTTCTGCCAGTGCCAGCTGTCATCTGCGTAGTACAGTTGTGTGGCAGAGCCTGTTTAGGCAGCATACAGGGAAGGCAGCCAGCCTTGTTTGGCTTTGCACTGCAACGAGAGGGAAAGCAGCTGGGTATTGCATATCCATGGTAATAAACAAGGTCTCTCACGGGGATTTTCCAGCCACATTAGCCTTCATGCAAAAGAGATTCTCACACTCTCCCTCGCAGGCGTCAGAGCCTCCCGGGCGGGGGGGATGTGCCTTGGGCCACACGAGCCCCATGGAGTAGAAGAGTAAGCAGTGGAAAAGGAGCAGGAGTCAGTTAATCCTGCCAGACAGTGAGGGACTGGGTGTAGTGACTGTGTCACACCCAGAGGGAGGCAGGACCAACAAGACTACTCTGCTTCCAAGGCCCTTGGTCACACTGACCAGAGCTCACCCAGAGCTGGGGAAGGGGAAGCCCAACCCCAAGGGCAGAGGTGCACTCAGATGAGCCTGTTCTTCAGGACATGGTTTATAGTACACACAGTTCACTTAATTTATAACTGCTCTTTCTAGTCCTGGCCCTGCCTACACCATCGCCCCCTCCACACACCCCCACCTGACAGCCAGGGACCTCCCCACAGCACCAGCAGAGCAGGATGAGGGGTGATCCTTCCTCTGTGCTGGCCCTGGGGAACCAGGAAACATCTGTCTGGGTCTTTCTGCCAGCAGGAACAGCTCTCAGGGCATTGGCTGATGTTTTACCTGCTTACAGCAGGGAGGAATTCAGCTCCCAGTGACCCCCAAGGTTCCCACAGGCTTAGGTTTTCTCACAGAGTAAAACCCAGGAGTGCCTGATCATGCACAAATCTGAGCAGGAACCAGGTTTTTGTGATTCCTGTCACCTGGGGGAACAGGAGGACCTTTCCACAATGTGCTGACATTCCTTTAGCTCTGCAATTGTGCTTTTCTTTCTTAAGTCAATGCTTTTGCACATGAAAGCTTTTTTTTTCTGGGTAATAAGCATCCAGAGAGGAAAGCAAATGAATGCCTCTGAGTTTAGTGTCTCATAAATCATTTTCCAAAAGCTGCTCTCAGATCCCAGCAGGGCCTATAGCCAGAGGTGGAAAAAAAACCCCCTTGCTTTAGCCTCCAGCCTGTTCCTGCTAATGCTGGTCTTGTGGAAACAACTTACCTGGAGGCTCCTCCACTGATCCTTGGATGCGTTTTCTTGGCCAAGTGAGGATCTGGCTGCACTGAGGGGTTCAGCTCATTCCCCAGGACACAGGGACAGTGCAGCCCCATGGGACCCATCTCAGAGGAGTGAAGGGCAGAGCTGGGTACCACACACACACACTGCATTGCTGCTGTGAATCCCTTCCCCTTCCCACCAAAGTGCAGCCACAGCGGGGGAAGGAGCAGAGGGGTCACAATATACAGAACTCTGAACAAATGAAGGGAAGGGAAAAAACCCAGCCAGAACCATCATATAGTAACATCAAGGACAACTCCTCAAAGCACTCGATGTCCAAAATAAGTACTGTCATTCTCAAAAGATGTGGGAGAAGTCGGACTATCCTTACTCATTTTAAACGCCACGGTCACCCCTCTGAGCCTGGAGTTGACTTACACCTCTCTCAGAATGTTTCCTTCAACAAAACACAAGTGTTGAGGATTAATGATTTATTTTGAGTCACTGGTGGAAGACAGCAAAGAGCATCCAAAGCCAGTTCATAAATTGGGAAAGATTGCAGGGAAGAGGACGTGATGATTTGTCTTCCCCATCCCTGGGACTAGCACAGAAAAGTAATTGCCTTCATTTGCAACAAGGCCACTTAGGGGAAAAAAAACATTTTGAACAGTAACTGGAACAGATAGCAGTGGGAAACAGGTAAGATGAATAACTTCTGGAACACCCAGCCTTACCTGGCCCCACAGGTGCTGCAGCACAGCACCCACTTCCAAGGTCCTTCAGATTTTCCAGCCCTGGGCTCACACACAGGGACTCCCTCCCCCGTCACCCTCCAGCCTTTCTGAGATGTTCTGCCTCGGCGAGTCTCAATTAATAAACAAGATGTTCATGTTTTTATGTGGAAAGCAAAACACAGGATTAGTGATACTAGAGAACTATAATCAAACTGTTCCACACCAGTGAATAATATATGTACAGTACCAAATGCTTGCTAAACACCCCATGCCAATGCTGATGCGTTTTTTTTATAATTGTTCAGGATAAATGAACAAGAAACACTTCCAGAAAGCTGTAGTGATAAATAAATTGAATTTGTTAGCCTATATATTTTCCCTAGAAGACGGCTAAAACTGCATATTTCACTGCAGTCTAACCCAAACCCTGCCAAAATATTACACTTGTTACAAAAACCAGAGCCTAAAGAGACAAATCCCCAGTGCTGGAGCTTCTGGTGAGCAGGGCAGGGATTCTGTCAATCCCTGGGCTACTGCATCCTCCCCATCTCTTGCCACCAACCCATGAGGCTTCATTTTGTCACCTCCTGTTCTGTCATGAAAATAGCTCTTGGCTGCATCCCATGGCTCAGAGAGCCGGTCTGGCAAACCTGCTGTTGAGACCAGGAGGAGCGAGGTCCTGAGCTCTGCTGGTGTCGCTGGTGGGGATGGTGGTGCACAGGGTGGCACGGAGAGGAGCAGGGTTTGCAGTCCGCAGGGATGCAGTGGGAGCGGTGGCCCGCCCGTTTGAGGCTCTGCTGTGTTATTTACATGGTGATACAAAGTAAAATGAGCACATGGACACCCCCAAAGCTGCGTTTTTCCTATGGAGCAGCTGCCTGGGCTTGGGGACGTTTTGGTGCCGGTGCTGCCAAGAGGCAGTGGCATTAACGCAGGATGAAGGGGAAATGGGGGAGTAACATCAGGTATTTGTTTGTTCAGATTCTCAGTGATGTTTCATGGTTAGTGCTGGAGCATGACTAGGCCTCCTAACTTTTAATTAATTAATTAATTAATTAATTTTAAAAAACGTGTGTCAGGGCACCCTTTCCAGCACAGCTATTTCTGAGATCCACATTTTTTGAAAGGCGAATGGGACTGCTCTGATCCACTTCCACCTTTAATTTTTTTTTTAACTCGTACATTTGTTTTCTTAACTGAAGAGTTTCCCCAGTTTCAGCAGGCACGCCCCAAAGGGAGGAGCTGGCAGATGGCACAGGGCTGTGGGAGGTGCTGGCCCCACAGCCTGCCCCAGATCCTCCTCCTCTCCTTACACCTGGCTCACCCAAGGCAGCACAGCTGGAGATGGATGGGGCAGGGGAAGGAACCTTTAACCCACGTTAAAATGTTAAACACTTAAAAGCAACTCTAAATAAAGAGTGACTTCTCAAGGCAGGTGAAGTATCTAAAAAACTCTGTTCCCAGTGAAGTGGAGGGGAGTTTTGCCCAACTCCTCCACTGTGTGGTTGGTGAGGGTGGAGGCTTCTCTAGCCCAGCAGGTCAGCGCTGCTGCTGAGCCCAGGGCTGTGAGATCAGCAGGCTCAGGCCACAGCATCACCCTTGCTGCCCTGTCAGGGACCAGGCAAGGTTTTGCTCATCCAATCTCACGTCTTTCCCCTCTGGGTGTGACCCCCAAATCCTGCTCAACCCACCCAGCCCCAGCAGCACTGCTGGGCAGACCCAGGGGAAGCTTCACTAACCCCCCCAGAGATGCTCCCTTGGTCTGGATCTCAACCAAGCTCATGGGTGGCCATCCCTGAGGGAGCAGCAAAAAGCAAAATTTCAAGGGGAACCTCCAAATTGTCTTTTCCATCCCCTTGGGTGGCCACTTGTGCTTGAAGGCAAGGACCATGGCAATTTAGCCCACTGAAAGCCTGCTATAAAAATGCTGGTGCCCACCAACATCATGGAATCATGGAATCATTTAGGCTGGAAAAGCTCTTGGGATCATCAAGTCCAACCATTAACACTTCCAAGTTACCACTAAACCACATCCCCAGCTGCCACATCTACACACCTTTTGAACACTTCTAAGGGTGGTGACTCTACCACTTCCCTGGGCAGCCTGACCACCCTTTCAGTGAAGTAATTTTTCTGAATATCCAACCTAAAGCTCCCCTGGTACAACTTGAGGCCATTTCCTCTTGTCCCATCACTTGTTACTTGGGAGAAGAAACTCACTCCCACCTGGCTCCACCCTCCTTCCAGGGAGTTGTAGAGAGCAAGAAGGTCCCCTCTGAGCCCCCCCAGCTCCCTCAGTTGCTCCTCATCAGACTTGTGCTCCAGATCCTTCTCCAGCTCCATTACCTTTCTCTGGACGTGCTCCAGCATCCATCAGCATCAGGCAAATCCCGTTCTAGCTCCAGCTTTTGGGGATCTCTCTTCATCCCTTAATGGCTCCACACAAAATGATTTCCAGACACCCACTTGTGCCTTCCCCCATCCCATTCCTTAGCCCTGCCACAGGCAGGGAAACCCTGCTTTTGGTTCCAGTGCTGGGGAAAGCTCTCACTGAGCTGCCTGAGGAAATCATTAGAGCAGCAGGGGAAATCACACTGAAACCAGGAGCAGAACAGAGAAGCTCTGTGGACTATTCCCTCCCTCCCCACAGCGCACACAAGAGCAGGAATTCACTGTAGGAGGACTGCATTTAAAAAGAAGGATGGCGAACACAACCCATCTGTGTTGAAGCAGAAATTCAGGGTGATGCAGAGGCACCAAAGCACATCCCAACATGAGGGGAAAGCCAGTGGTTACCACTTGTTTTATCAAAGCCTGTTCCTCTCACACATCCAGCTCCAAAGGCACAGAGGCCTCACGCTGCTTTGGAAATGTCACTGCCTTCGTGCCAGCGATGGTTAAACTCACAATATACATCGCTGCTCAATACATATGTTTGCAGAAGGAGAGGGAGGCAGGATGCTTGTCTGTACAAAAGCTGCAGAGGGCTGGTGGTACCCCAGGGAGATGCAATTCCCCTGCACAGTCCCATAGGGTTGAGCTGCTCCAGGGACTGCAGTCAGAAATGTCAGAGTTTTCCATGAAAGACTCAGAGAGGGGCTGGGGCTGGGCTGTGCCTGCTGTCCCAATGCCAGGGTTATTTCTTAGTCACTCCAGCAAAAGACAGGCCTGAGTTAGTCCAGCTCCCACCCAGGGAAGCAGAGCAGCTTCCCACATGGATTGTCCAGGCACAGCAGTTCAGCAGGACCACCGAGGGCATTCGTGTGCCATCCTGTGAGAGCTCGGGGTGGCAGGTCCAGCCCCCCTGCACACAGAGCTCTCAGTCTGGGGAGGTACAGCCAAGGGGTCACTCTGCCATTCTCAAAAGCCTCTCTCTGTGTCCCCCCCAGTCGAGGAACAGTGGGCAGCAAGGGGACACGGACGGAGCCCGGCGACTCGGACGCATGGCCAGGCTGCTCAGCATCGTCTCCATCGTCCTGGGGACCATCATCATCGTGCTCTACATTTCACTCAGCGTCAGAGGTAACACTTCCTTCTGTTTTCCACAGCCCAGCTAGAGCAGGAACCTCACCTGGCTCCAACCCAGGGGACAGGATACACCTGGCCACCATCCACCACCCTGGGGTAGATGGAGCTCCATTCCCATCCTAACTGAACTGGGAGAGCTCTAAACCCCTGCAGTCCAGGCTGGTTTGACCATCACCAGCTGCCCACACACATGCAAAACACCCCAGAGAATGGGCTCCTGGTAGTAACCACACACACTGTCCAAATGGCCAGCATGGAAAGCCCTCCCTGTGCTGTCCAAAGTGCTGTGGTGACCATGCAAGATCCCCCTGGTGAAAGGTTTTGTGGTGGGTTTAGAAGAGTGGAGTGGGGTAAAAACATAAGGGTTTCAGGTCACAAATCAGCCTTCCCAGAAAGACAATCCCAAACCCACCTGCCAAACCAGCATGACCAGCACAGCTCAGGCAAACAGGGGCCTCAGAAACACCCACAGCCCAAAACCAGGAGCGGAAGGGAAACATCTGTGACCACTGGAAGCTGCCCTAAGACTCTCTTTCTCTTCCAGTTTCCTAGAAGACGCTTCAAGCATGCAAATACCTTGAAGAGGAGGAAGACAACTTTCCTTTTGGGGTTTTTACTTTCAGCCTTGCAACAAAAAAACCAATTGTCACAGTGTGGGTGGGCAGCCCTAGACAGCCTGCTCTGGAGCGCCGTTGGAAGGAACGCATGCTTCTATTCACTCTTGGAAATGAGTCTGTACAGGTGATGGGAGAAAAAACACCGGGAGAAGGAATGGGAAAGGCCAGCGGACACCAAGTGGAGAGGAGAAGGGGGAAATCCACTACCTCATTCCCCTCCAGCAAAACTCACGGAGTGGGGAGACAACTAAAGTACAAGAGGAGGAGAGAGTTTCAAGAACGAAGCTTGTTTTAACAGAAAAAAATTAAAGGCCAGAACGGGACATTCTGAGGAATCCTCCTAAGGATTTTGGCACAAGTCACCGGACTTTTCTGGGGGGTTGTTGGTTTTTAAATCGTCAAATTCTCTGTCTCTACAAAACAAAACAAAGCTCAAACTGCCATCAGGAGCTGAGAGCTGTTCCACGGAGGAGGAGGGAGGGCAGAGCTGCAGCAGGACCCCGGCTCTGCTCCGCACGGAACGCAGCCACAAAAGCTGGAGGATGTGGTGGGTGCTTTTGTATTTTTGATGAAAAAAAAAAAAAAAAGAGACAATGACCATTTGCATGCCTTTGGGAATGTTCTCCATGTCTGTTCCTACGAGCTCTTTTATCACTTAGGGCAGATCTCAGAGCTGGCAGAGCAGGATGTTGCTGCATGAGAACCCCAGGCTCCTCCTCACCCCGACCCCACAGCGGGCTCTTTCATGGAAGGAAAGATAAGGTGTTCCCTGTGAACCCACACATTTCCCTCTGTGCACCCAAAGGGAGGTGCTCATGGCACCCAGACGAGAGCCTGGTTAACCTGTAGCAGCAGCACCGAGGCACGGACAGCCCATTCCATCCACTGATGTCACATCATGACGCTCATGCAGAAGCTTCAGCGTGATCCAGCCCCTCCCACTGCCAGTGCTCATCTCCCTGACCCTTTGGGGCTTCAGCTTAGGGCCTTCCAGGGGATTTTCAAGGGCATGGAGGAGTTTTAGATCCCTGCTCCTCTCCCTGCACCCCTCACATGCTCTTCTGCATCGCTGGAAATCTCCAGTGTCCCCAGAGCTGTCCGGGGTCAGTTCCACAAGTTGTATTATTTTGTAATGTTTTATATTTAACATAACAAGAAAATAGACTTTGCTCCTCCCACTCTGCCTATAGGTACCACAGGCCCCACTATGTCTTCCACACCACACAGCTCCCTTGGCCATTTCCCGTGGGATACAATCACAACACCCCCTAAAAGCCTCCTTCCAGCCTCACCCCTTCTCCTTCCTGCTCACCCCATCCCTGCTGTGGGTTGTTCCTTGGGGTTGGCCCTCTACCCATCCACCCAGACTATGCAAAGTTTCATTGCCTGTTGTTTTAGTCAGGCTTTGTAGATGACTTCTGGCCACGTCCACTGGCTCCCTGTTACCTGAGTCTCTTTTATCCAAACTTTGCTGACACGAATACCCGACCAAGAGCTGCACTCCCCGGCCTTTCTGCCAACCTGGGACCCAGAAATACGGACTGACTGGGAAATGTGGTTCTTCAGGGCACTTCTGCTCCCTCACATCCTTAAAAATACCAAATTCAATGCTCCCGAGGGCATGTCTACATGGAGAATCCACCACACACCCTAAGAAACTTCACAACACAACTGCTTGGCACTGACTCCTCCTCTGGGCTGTCAATGGGCACAGGGTAGGGGTGACCTGTAAATCCACGCTGCAGTTACTCTGTAGTAACTAATGTGCAAAGCCACCGGCACGGCTGTGAAAATTCTCTTGTCCCCTATTTGATTGCTCCTCTTTGAAGTGTTTTCTTTTGGCAGACATTATTTGAATCCAGGGGGTGAGAAAGCCAAATCCCCCAGACACGCTGTTAACAATTTTCTCTACGCTAAAAGGGATTCCAGGGACTCGCAGCAATAGCACATCACTCCAGCACTTCCTCGGGCTCCATTCCCATCCACCCCTTTGCCAGCACTTTATTACAAGCAACTGGCTTCTGAAAGGGACCAAATCTGCAGTTTTTCTTTTTCAATTTATCTCTTGTGAGTTCAGCAAACGGGGGACCACTGAGGGCTGCCGGGTAGGAGCTCCCACCTGCATCCTCTGTCCAGGTGCCCCTTGGCACCAGACCTTTTCCTCCCAGGCTTTTCAGAAACCCTCCCTTGGACATTCCAACTTTAATCTTATGGCTGAGTCACCCAAACATTTCCCTCTCTGACTCTTGAACCCAAAAGCTGCTTGCTGGCAAACAGGTGTTATTCTTTAGGAGCTCCACAAAGGCAGTGCTGTCCTGTCCTTGCATCTTCTCCCTTCACCTGCTGAGCTACTGGAATTCAGCTGATGGGAAGAGCTGAGGAGGCTCCTCCTCAGGCAGGAGTTATGGGAGAAGTCCCAAGCCAGGGAAGCACAGAGCAGTGGAGGTACCAGGATTCCCCTAAATGCAGGAGAAGGCAGAAACATCCACCAAAACCCCCATGGTGATGATTTGTTGACCACACCCAGACAGGGTTTGTTCCTCCTGTCTCATCAGGCAGCTGAGTGATGCTTCTCACTTCGCTATTAAGCATATATTAAAAACAAGAAAAACTGAAACAATTAAATCCCCTTCATTCTAAAATCTTCTTTCCGATTAGATACAACTGTACTGCACTCCTGAACACTCCTGAAGACAGCTTTTTTTCTTATTCTGCATTTAAATCCAGAGAAAAGCCTCTACACTTATCCCTGACAAAATATTTCCTCTGCTTGTAACCTGGCTTTCCAGTGCTGGAGAATCCAGGGATATCTGGAAAGTCCCATCTCTCCACCAGCTTCTCCACATGTTTTCCAGCCTATTTTGCAAAGGTTTTGCCACTCTGCCTCTTCTCCACATCACACGTGGTTTTATCCCAGCTCAGCTGCCTCGTTGGCTCTTTTGGGGTGGAATTATCTTATATTCATGAAGGAAGAGGTTGCAGAGCTCAGAACTCTGAGGCCACCGGCAGGCACAGTCACTCCTTTGGTCTACACCCAGGGAACAACAGCATTCCTCCTGATTATTTGCTGCTTTAGTGATCACCTTAATGCAAGCATCTCTTGTTGCATATGCAGGCACAGCCACTCCTCTCCTTGATTGGCTTTTAGCACAGGAGGGCAATCACAAAAACCGTGTCACAAGACCTTCCCTCTCCATCCCCACAAACAAACCCTGTTACTTTATCCCCCAGCTCTTTGCCACCTGCTGCAGCCTCCTCTAAGCACACAGCACAGAGTGGAGTTTTCTGTGTTTGCAACTCCGACAAGTCACGAAATCCTCGGGATCTGCCCGACCTGTACCCCCTGGTGAAGGAGAGGTGAGAGATCCCAGCAGTGTGGTGGCAAATCCAGCCTTACCTGACAGCAAAGCTGAGCTGGTGGGAGGAGAGCTCGCTGAAGGGCTGGAGAAGGTGGGAAACGTCTCTAAATGTAAGCTGAAGTAGGAGTTACAATCGACAAGTGTGAGGTCCCGGTGGGATATAAATACACACTTTGCACCGCCCGGGAAAGAGGCTCCGGGCAGAGCACGAGGCTCTGGCACCTCTCTGGCACTGGTGGCCCTGGGGCTCCTTTCCCGGGGTTTGGGGCAGAGCTGGGCTCTGGAGGGGGGGCACAGAAGGGCCCTTGCTGGGTGCAGCAAGGCTGGATCAAAGCCTGAGGCTGAGCCAGCAGTTTGCTGCTGCCGAGCAGATGAACCGGCCTGGCTTCACAAGCAGCTCCTCGTAGGATGCCACGACCGAGGGTCAGCAAAGGTCTGGCACAAGTCAGTGGGTCACAGCAACACGCTGGCTGGTGCCTGCAGAGGAGAGACCAAAGGGATCTGAGCACAAAGGGAGGAAAGAAAGCCACAAAAAGGAGTTCAAGGTTTGCTGTGTTCAGGAGGGGTTTGCTTTTTCTGGTCGGTAGTTCACCCTGTTCCAGTTTACCCCTCTCCCCCCATCTCCGCTGGTTTCCCGTGGTTTTCCTTCAGCATTTCTACTCCCAGAGCAATGTGTGAGTCCCACAGGCTCCTTCCTCCCATCCTCTGCCTCTCCTTTAACCAGGACAGGTCTTGCTGGCAATGACATGTCATGGCTGGGCTCCTCTGGAAGGGGTTAGGGAGGGCAGGGAACCTCTGACCTGGCTCCCTGCAGAGCCCAGCGCTGGTACCCAACCTTCCCAACACACACATTTCTCCACGTAGACAAGGGGAGCAGATCCTGCCTTTTATAGAAAGTTAAAACCCCCTTTCTGTTCATTCTGAGCCCAGGAATAGGCTGCAGAAATGCACCCACTAGGCTGGCCCCACGACTTCTTCTTTTTTCCTCCCCCCCAGATCCCCTCACCCTCGCCCTGTCGCTTCGTTACTTATCACAGAACCACAGCCAGGGTTGCACTGTCAAGCTCAGATAATTCAGATTTAAGATGGTTTTTCATCCTTTAATTTTGGCAAAACCAGTTAGGTTTGGACTGAAAAAAACTCCCCTGCTTGGGCACAAACCCGGGGGGTGTGTGGGGGGGGAAAGCAGCCTTTTCAAAGTGGGAATATTTGTAAAGCATTTGCTGACACCGGTAGATAGCGAAATTCAAACCTATAAATACCCATCCAGGATAAGAAACATCAGAAAGGGAACGTGTGCAGGATTCACCAAGGCAACCCTGATCCCACCTGGGAGCAGGGGCCCTTGGTAGATGATGCCAGGACATGATCCTTGGTGTGGAAGTGCAGGGTCCACCCCCCCCACTGCCACAGCCACCATCCACACACAGCATTAACACACCAGGAACTGCAGCTGGGTGCTTCTCTTTGCTGGTAAATGTTTCTTTTTCTGCAGGATGGTATGGTATATCTTATATACTTTCTTTGTATTTCTTGGCATGAGAAAAAAAAAATTAAAATGTAACATGCATGGTCAAAGCTGAACTGGTTTCTTCTGTCTAACTGAGAAAAAAAAAATTATCCAAGCTACTCATTTAACTGTTGCTTCACACTCCAAGAGCAACCAGTTGGTATTTTGGGTGCAGTGGGCTGCAAATAATATGTACAGGCAAAGAGCAGAAGCAAACAACACAGTCAGAGCAGAGAGAGGTGCAGAGAGATCAGCCTGGTACTGCAGGGCCAGGCAGCACCTCGGGAAGCTCAGCTACTGTGGGAGGCCTCTGCCAGCCAGGGGAAGGAAATCAACCCTCCTTCCTTGCAGGGCACAAGGACGGGATGGGGAGCAGTCCCTGGAACTGCTTCTCACCACAGCCCTGCCACTGCAGGCCAACAGCAAATTCCTCATCTGCTGGAAAACCAAAATCATTGAGCGAAAGCACAGATTTCAGGGGTGCACAGCAATATTTGGTCTCCTCTCACGGAGCCTAAATGCAAAGTTTGATAAGCCAAGGCTTGAAATTCAGCCCTTACCAAAACCACTGGCTGTGGTCTTTTCCCAGGAGGAGTTTTTCCAACCAGACTGGAAGGCTGTTTGTTGACTGTGTCACACCCAGCTGGGGTCACTACCAGAGTTTATTTGTGTGTTAACAGCACACTGGCCAGTCAAGGCTACTGGTCCTTGTTGAAGCTGAG